ACCGGTCAGTATCGTGGATCGAAAGAGCAGATTACTCCGCAACCGAAAAATTCTCTTTGTTAAGATCCTATGGCAGAATCACACACCCAGAGAGGCCACATGAGAGCTAGAATCGGATTTCAAAGCCCAATATCCCAAACTGTTTAATTGAGAGTGAGAGAAACAAATTTGAGAAACCAAATTTCTTTTAAGAGTGGGAGAGTTGTAATACCCAAACTAATTTTTTTTACGTAATTTAAATTAATTTGTAAATATAATTTTTTAATTTTTTTAATTTTAATTTAGTGTAAAAATAAAGAAAATTTGATGGAAGATGAAATTGAAAATGTTTTTGGGAAAAATAGTGAAAATTTGGGTTATGTGGGTACTTTTTTAAAAAAATCAGAAACTGGGAGTTAAAATATAATTTAAGAAAGTTGTGCCACGTAGGATGCCCAGTCAGCAGCACCGACGAACCGAAACGCGTCGTGTGGCAATGAACGCTGACGCGGTACCACGCGAGGGGCCACGTGGGTGATCTGCGTGCCCGTGATCGAACGGCTCAAATTCGCTCCCGCACGCACAGACGGCTGGGATGCGTTCCCTCCCCAATCGCGATAGAACAATCAGATTTAAATGCGATCAATAGATCCGATCAACTTCCTATTTAAACGCAATCGGACTGTCCAGATTAGATCGCGATGAACGACCCATATTCACTCCCTATTTAATCGCGATCGGATGGTTTAGATCAAACGCGATAGATGGTCCATATTAATTGGGGACAGATATAAATAATTCTCTTAACACCAAACCCTACCCTAGCCGCCAGACCCATCCCCCCCTCCCCCCGCCGAAGAAGAAGACCCAACCACCGGGAAGGAAGCCACTGCCACCCCCCGCCGCGTCGGAGCCACTTCCGACCACCAAAAGAGGTAAAAAATTTCTCATTTTCTCAGAATTCAATTTTAAACACCCCCATGGCTAAATTAGAATAAAAGGACCTGTGGATGGGCCGAAAATTGCGGGGAAAGCCCGACGGCACCGTCATAGAAAATTATAAAAATTGCCTCTGATGAGGCCCTTCCCGATTCCCGTTCTTCATAATTTTTCTACCATTATAATAATTGTTTTCTTCTCTTCAGGTTGACCGGAGCAAAACACCCAACCGCAAAAGTGAGCCGGCAGAGCTCCCGCACCAAAGAGCTCCGCCGCTGGTGAGTTTCGATTTTTTATTTCTTTTGAGCAAACCGAGGCCCTTTAACATGTTTTCTCACAAGGATTGATGCAAAACTGGCCAAAAATAGCTAACCGGTGCATCGCATTCATTTGTTTCACATGTTTTTACATTAAAATTAAATGTATTACTTGAAAAACGACTTGTTTGTGTCTACTCCTAGGAGTAGGACACTACTGGGGGGAGGTTGTATACAGAGCTTATATCATAGATATAGCAGATAGGAAATTGAGTGTGAACCTAATAGAAATTGACACAGGAGATTTTGATGTAATTTTAGAAATGAACTGGTTAGCGGCGTATCACATACACTGTAGATTGTTTTAGCAAAAAGATTGTATTCAACCCTCCTAATGAGAACTCATTTATAAATTAATAAAATCATTTAACATTTGTTTCCTCATGGAAAATTTTGTTATTATCAAGTACTTTAACCCAGCTGTTTTCTCTAACTAAACAAACCCAAGAAAAAATTTGTATTCAAAAGATTCTGGTAGTCCGATACTTTTCAGATATATTTCCGGATGAACTATCTGGATTGCCAGTGGACAGAGAAGTCGAATTCACCATATTCCTTCAGCCAGGCACCTTGCCTATTTTGGTTGCTCCTTACCGCATGAGTCGTGTTGAGATGGAAAAATTGAGGAAACAACGCACTGATTGCAATACAATGGATTCATCTGATATAGTGTGTCTCATTGGGGTATCGGAGTCACATTTATGAGAAAATGAAATGAGACGTTGAGGTTATGTATTGATTACAGAGGTTTGAATAGGGTCATGATCAATAACAAATACCCCCTCCCCAAGATCGATGACCTCTTTGATCAGTTGTAGGGTGTCTAGCTCTTCTCCAAGATAGACTTGCGTTTATGATACCATCAGGTAAAAATCAGGGCAGAAGATATTCCCAAAATAGCCTTTTGAACCAGGTACAAATACTATGAGTTCCTGGTCATGCTATTTGGACTAACCAACGCTCCAATCATCTTTATGGACTTGATAAACATAGTTTTTAGATAATTTATGGAACAGTTTGTCATTATGTTCATCGATAATATTTTAGTTTATTTAAAAAGTAGAGAAGAATACGCTCACCATCTGACTCAGATTTTGCAGGTTCTTAGAGAGAAGCTGTATGAAAAGGACCGGTGGATTGGCCGAAAATAGCGAGTAAAACCCAGCGGCACCGCCGTATAAAATTATAAAAACCGCATCCGATGAGGCCCTTTCCGATTACTGTTATGCGTAATTTTTCTACTATTATAATTATTGTTTCTTTCTCTACAGGTTGACTGTAGCAAAACATCTAACCACAAAAGTGAGCCAGCGGAGCTGCCGCACCGGAGAGCTCCGCCACTTGTGAGTTTCAGTTTTTTATTTTTTCTTGGCAAACCGAGGCCCCTTAACGTATTTTCTCGCAGGGATTGATGCAAAATCGGCCGAAAATAGCCAACCTGGGGTGGATCACTGCCATGGGCGGCAGTGTCGTCGCGAGAGCACGACGGAGTCGCCGTGCAGGAATTTTAGAATTTGTCAAAAAGGGGTCCTGACACTGTTTTTAGATTTTTTGAGATATCTGGAGGTATTTGTAGTGTGTTTTAATCACTGAAGAAAAATTCAGGGAATCCGGTGATCACGAGTAGGCACAGTCAACAAATTTAGCTTTTCGCGCATTGAATTGAGTAAAAATCCCTCATTCTATTCTCTACTATAGAATTGAAGTCAAATTAAAAGTAATACGGTGTTTTGTACAATTTAAAAAATATCCATAATCAATTACGGGTTACTAATGGAATCATAATAGAAAATTATCTACTGTTATTTCTGTTGATTATTTTTACAGTTCGAATGCATGATAGTATCTGATTGGTCGAGTTTATAGCTTTGAATGCATGTATTATTTATTTTACGTGTTTACGGTTGAATTGGAAAAAAAATAAAGATTAAAGAAAAATGAAAAATTGCGTGATTAAGTGAATGGATGAAATGACAGCTTTACTGGATATCCTGGGTGATGGTGAATGGACCAGATACATAGAGAACCCTACCGTGAATGTTGACTCATACCAGACGGGGTATCGAAGTTTGGTAATTTGGTGCTCATACCGAACGGGGTATGGTAATGGCTCATTTCACTCTCATATCGGACGAGATATTGAAGTTTAGTAGTTTGACGCTCATACCGGACGAGATATGGAAACGGCCTGTTAATTGAAAATGTTAAAAGAAATGGTTCACGCGTTGTGGGACATCCCTATGAACCTTCATAAATACTAGTAGACTAATAAAGAATAAAATTGTTGTTCAATTCGATTACATATGGAATCGTTATCTGTGTTATGTTATTGTCTCTATGAATTATTTTGTAAATCTCACTATAGTAAGTAGATGGTAAAAGATTTTGTTTATGATAAATAAATTTGTTTAATTAAGAACTCCATTAGTTGTTTTGATTTTTCTACTAATATTCATTTCTGTGTCGGTGAGTAACGTGATATTTTTACTGAAATAGTATAGTTCATTATTTATTTAACAATTTCAGATCAAGAGTATCAGGATTCAGAGCCCGATCCACAAGAAAGTTGCGAGTAAGATGTCAGTTTTATTTATTTTCCGTTTATTTCCTTAATTTTTTGTATTTCTTTTAAAACATTAATTTCTGTAATACTATTTGATACTTTAAGTTATTGTGTAAGGAATGTAAACTCTAACTAATCTTTCGTACTTAATTTATGATTTATTTTCTTCAAAATTCGAGGGTCGTTACAATATACATGTACACACTTACGAGGGTGAGTTTCTTTTTTATAGATATTTTGATGTGCAATAGCTATTTTGATTATTTGAATTTAATATTTTATAGATACGTATATTATACAAATTTAAATGAGTTAAATAAGTGGCTAAGGAATTGAGAAATTTATATTCTTTGTAAATAATACCCAGTATTATAATTCTTATCACGAAATGGTCCTGATAATTTTTGGAATATATTTTGATGCCATTACAAATAATTAAATAAGAGAAAATTTGAAATTTTAATTCAAAAAATTAAATTTGTGTTGGCAGAGCAAAAAGATGTGGTGGGTAAAAATATTAAATTAAAGAATCTATACATGACACATATTTTATAACGTTAGAAAAATGACATCCTCAGAAAATGAAACATCTGCTTTCATGTCATTTTCTTCTTCAACTTCTATTCAATATAATTAAAAATAATAATATTAATAATAATACTTGGGTGTAAGGATTTTTAAAACTGAAATCTCTATAAATATTATTATATAATTAAAATTAAAAAACAGTATTATTAATGGAGGGAGGGAGACAATGCGATTGAAATGTATCAAATCATGTAAAACTAAAAATAAAATTAATGGATTTCTTCCTACCGGACAAATAAATGTCCATTTCAATAATAAAAAAATAAAAAAATACATATATAAATACACTGTCAAACCACATAAATTTTTTTTATATTTTTATATTACTTTACATTATTTTATAATTAATATATGCATACATACTCACATAATTTATTTAAAAATATAAAATATATCAGTTCTTCCATACCTAACTAAAATCTAGTAAAACTTGCTGTTCTCAATTACAATACTCATCCCACTTTTAATAATAAGTTATAAACAATAATTAGCTAGTCAAAATCTCACAAAATCACATTCAAAAACTTAAATCAGATGGCCCGACATTAATACCCAAAAAATAATATTTAATTGTTTAATAAACTATTTTTATTAAGATCATAGAAGACAAAAATCTATAACAAAAATGTGGTTGGTCTAAGTACAATATTTGAACATCAATCAAAGAAACTGGGTAACAAATTTTACGGGGTTAAACACGAAGCAATTGAAATACAAATATTATTATTGATACAACCCAATTTAAATTTTGCTACAAATGCGAAGCACAATGAAATTTGTTACAGTAAGCTCTAAATATATTTTGTATGTACGTACTCTCTCAATCTATATCTACTTTATTACTGCTGTAGGATTGGATTAGAGGGGATATATATTAAGAGATGCTGGCATTTTTCACTCCACAAGATAAGTAAGAAAAGTAAAGAGGATAACATTTGTTTGAGTAATCGTCGGTCCATTATCGACAAACAAGGGCCCCATTCATCAGCCCAAAACATAGAGAGCCCAAACCCACAAACTTACAACCAGACAGACAAACAAACAAACATTAGATGCTTACATTTATATATATATATATATATATTATATTATATTATTTCGAATATTTTCTTTAAGGAAACAAAAAAAAAAAAAAAAGAAAAAAAAAACACCCCCGAAAGAGCTATTTTATATTATTAAAGGTGAGATCACATCCTGCCCGGCGGACCTACGCGCTCAATCGGCTCCGTACTCGTCTCCTCCCACTCATCTACTGCTGCAGATCGCCTGTAACTTTGTCAGTATCTATATAAATAATAACCAGTCTAACATAAAATATATATATATATATATATATGTGTGTGTGTGCGCGTGTTGTAACTTTCAGTTCC